CTGGATTATTGTTCTAGCGCGTATTTTCCGTTATTGACTGCTAAATTAAAACATAAATTGCAAGTTCTGCAAAATTGTTGCTTATAAAATTAGTAAATAGGACCATATAACACCCCATTATGTTAGCTTAGGAGATCTTAAGCTAGAACATCGCTTCTATCTCATGTATATACTTGCACTATATTTATACTATATAATCAATTCCCTTAGACCAACTTATCTATTCGTATTACTGCAAACTAGACAAGAATTACACACACGTGATCTAAGACATGTTCAACGCTACAATATACCAGCTCATGTAAGCCAAAAATTTGAAAGTTCATTTGAATACATAGCATCAAACGTATTGAATAGTAATATGAATGATTTACTCATTTAGGAGAACTATGAAGAAGAAGCTGTTATGTTTGCAGTCACAACAAATGTCTGTTATTTATTTTTAAGAACAATGTATAATTATAGCACTCTAATTAATTAATTTTACACTTTTTCGACCTCTTATAGGGTGAGATTGCAAGCCGGCTTGCCGATATCTTGTCCCTTTTAAATAGAATTTTGTATTTTAGTGACTATTCAATTCATCTAACATTTGTCACATTTCAACCAGTGAAATGTCTCGATTTCAAATTGCTGCGCCAATGGGAACGAATTATAGTGATAATTGCACGTGTGGCATTTCAGCGATAATTTCACGTGTGGTATTTCAGCGACAATTCTATGCGATTATTCAATGACATTTGTCAAACTTCCACCAGTGAAATGACGCGAAATTTTGTCGTATTAACCGGAACATTCTTCTTAGTTTGTTAATCAATTTCGACAACAGACTTATCACCACATCTTTTAATTTAATCACTCATAACGAATTAGCTTGGAGCACAAAAGTTCGAATAGAATCAATAGCAAAATGAAAAGCAACTTCCCCAGAACAAAAAACGCAACTTCCATAATTTATTTTGACATTTATTGTTGTCATGGAAATACATTCGCGTGGGTAATTATGCTTAATTTTTCGTTTGATTCATTTAATAGTCGTCCGAATACCATTCGTAGTCGAAGTATTTGTAGATTATTTTTGAGCTGCTGCTCCACTCATGCTAGTTACGCTTTTTAATACCACTCGCGCAAGCGCTCGTGGTATTAATCAGCGTAACTAGCATTCGTGACAGCACCTCAAAAATATTCGACAATACTTCGACTACTTATGGTATTATATATGATTATTTTAGTTTGGAAGCTCTCCTTTTTGTTTTATATTCTATTTAATAAATATCTATTCTTATTTATTTTTAATGTAACTACTTTGTAGATCAGAAATAAAAAATGAACCCGGGATGCTCCCATTGTAACACGAAATTTCGACATGGTTACATTCAAATATATTTTTTTCTATTTCGATTTTTAAATGTTCTTATTAACGCACTGTTTTCCGCTCAAAACAGTGCGTTAATGAGACCTATTAACGCACCGTTTTTAAGTTGGTATTAAAGAGGAAAACCTAAATTCACTACCCTATTTGACATTCGATTGTATTTATTTACAAATTAGGGTTATGTTTTGATATACAGAAAGACAAGATTCCTTTTCTATTTGATTAAAAGCGAGACTTGTAAGGCTGATAAAGTGTTAATCAAATTACAAGAACAATATGAAAAAACCACTTATTACTTTCTCCCAAAACTCAAAAGGGAATTAAATATTACGGTATGTAGCGTAAGAACCGAGATATCAACAATGTGGAGCTTTGAGGTAAATTTTTACATTAATGATTAATGCCTCTTTTTGTAGCACGCTCAACATCTACGTGCAATCTGTGACCAATGATTACTAGTACGAATAGTGTACCTATCTTCCAAAAAAGACCTACAGGTTATAAAGGAGATTTCGAATGGGGAAAGGATGACAACGAGGATACCTTCGGAACACATTAAACAATATTTTAAAGAAACAGCTTATTGCTTTTAGCACTTGTTCTGCGTTATTCATATCGTGAGCCTGATTTGTGTAGTATCGTTATGCTCCAAGAGGAAGTGACAATCCGAAGCCGAACCCGTCGTAATGAGTGACACGTATCACGTAACAACAACCCACTAAGGACCGATCTGTTAGTGACCGTTAATGGCAAATCGCGAAAGGAAACCTTTGTTTTTCTTTTTATGTCAGTCACCAATATAAGTAGAAGCAGAGTCATACGGGCGAAATCTGTTAGGTGTTAGCTTTGTCGTTAATCGACAGTGACACGACTGAATTTCACATAACTTATATAAAAGGACGAAGGACTGTATTTTGCCTTTATGAATTGTTCCACAGTTAATGTAGGTACTAATTTCTGCAGTTTATTAATTAAAACAAAATTGATGAGAGTGTATTTATTTAAGTGAAATATTAAAGGACGTCGTACTGCCAACTTAATACAACCTGCACTAATACAACTTCTATATCAAAATTCCCTAGTTACAAAAAGTTACTATAACATCATTTTGATAAAAATTTCTCAAAAATATCTTCTCAATAGAAAAAATAGTATAAGAAACTTGTTTCATAAGACGCCCCATCGCACTCGTTCATTAGAAAACTCGCCGCGAGCGGCTCGTTTTCTAAACTTGAACTCGTGCGTTAAACGCGCCACTTATGAAACTTGTTTCTTAATATACTATTAAATACCTATTTCAATAAATCAACTAAATCCTATATGGTTCAGGGGCAACACGAAACCGATTGTAAAGTTTCAAATAGCTGAAACAAATAACTTCTATTTTTAGCCCAAAATCTTAAAACTTACCTAGATTCACAATTTGAAAATAAATTACCTATGGCTTAAAGTTTCGACTTACTTACAGGCAAAAATTTTACCAAAATCTATTTAAAGATATTTCATGTGAGCCTTATTGTACATGGCTGCATACCTTCAATTAACTACTTATTTTGCACACTCTTCTTACTGATCACTCTTCCAATAAAAAGTCATATGCTATACCCCTATAGGTACCTATCTAGGTACTATTGTCGTTCACTTAAAGAAGAATCACAGCAGAATGGTATAGGTATACCTACCTAGGTACCTATACTTACAACTTTTTTTGGTTATAGCGACCTGTTCGCATTTTTTTTCAATAGGTAGGTATACCTACTTATCTTTGTCTCTAAAAAATGATCACATCTATAATCACGGTTTTCTGTTACAGTTCGATTAAAATACCAAATCAATTTTCAAAACAGTGCTTTGGAAACGGTGAATTAGGTAGGTACAAAATTTGGAAAACCGAAATAAAATTAATAGGTACCTATTACCTATACCAACTGCACATAAAGAAGTATGTAATTTATTACATGCACCTGAACTTTTGCTATATTTTATTCGAAACGCAATGAATGGAATCTTATATATTCTGTAATCAGAAAAATACATTCAAATTTCTGTTTAAAAAGTTAGTTACGAGGTTAATTTTTTTGAAATAAATTCTACGTACAAAATCATTAGTTTTATTCACCACCAATAGGAGTTTCAATTGTAATTTCGTAATTTCCGATTATTGGCTTCCCTAATTATTTTATGGATAAACCCTATTTAGGTTTTTTGAAGAAAAAAAAATTAGGAACCCATGTACATATACTATAGGTTTTCATTTTTTGAATTTTAAAACCAAAAAAATTGGATAACTGAAAACCGGAAAATCAGGGATGCCGTGGCAGTTTACGATCAAACAAAGCTGAACGACGCACTTATGACTTAGGTACTTGACGAGCGCTATTTCCAGAATACAACCACTTTACCATTCTATAGTTGCATATAGGTTGTAGATAATAGAATTTAATAATTACTTGTACTTATAGGTATAGTAGGTAAATATAATAAACGTGAAACTAATGGCAAATGTCCTATTTGTTTGATTTGATAATTCCATGGGATTCCCGAATTTTTAAAGGCGACAGTTTTTTATTTCTAAATTTTTTCTGTTTCTGAGTTTATTAAAAAAAAACTATAGTAGGTACAATGCGATCAAAAATGAGTTGCTGTCGAGTCACCTTTGGAATTTATGTTTACATGGGAAATCGTACTTAACTTGAACTTCCAAAGGCGACTCGACATCAACTCATTTTTGATCGCCCGTTATACCTATGTAGGTACCTACGGATTCGTATTTTTTTTGTCTACAAAAAAACCTATAAATATACTTGATATCTCTACAATAATCGGAAGTTAAAACATTACTATTGAAATTCCTATGATGAGTTGATAAGTCACAACCCGGTAGGTAGGTAATGAAAACAGAATAAGTTCGCATAAAGATGCTTTCACTTCGGCTTTTATAACTTTATAAATTTTGTTGGAAACTAACATCTTAGCTCTTGAGATATTGGATATGGCAAGGGAGCCGAGGCGCGGAAAATGGTCACCCTGTATAAGTAGATATACCTACTTAGGTAGTTATTTATCCGTGCGTTTTTTTTCCAAAAAACAAAACATCGCGTTAAATTCGGTACATTTGTTTTCGAGATCGAGACTATCGGAAAAAGTAAGTACCTATATTACTTTCTTAGTAGTGGTCATGGGGTATAATTTTATTGTACCTACACCGTGGTAGTGCTATAGATATACCTAGATATAGGGTGTACTTGTTACTATAATTACTTAAAGCGCTATTTATTCACAAGGATGCAAGATTGATTTACGTGTAGGTACCAATTTTTAATTTTTTGCATGTTTCGCAGTTCTATATTATGAATTAGGTAGAAGTGTACCTCTATTTCTATAATCCCAACCGTAAAATTTACAAAGGAGTTTGAGTACCTATCTCTACCAATAGCATGTAACTGTTGATCCTAACTGCGGTACATTCCTTATCTAAACTTCACAGAAAATGTGAAGACAAAATAAATGTGTCTTCATTCGTCAGCAGTATTTCTCTTTCTGATAAAAATGCATTTAACTGCCTTGACTCGACTAATACTTAATCGGTGTAAATAAGGGTTGTAATATGATAAAGTTTACATACCTTCTCTGCCTTTCGGCGTCACAACTCGAAACGCACTGCTGTTTGCCGGCGGACTGGAGGGCGCCGAATTTGATACGTTTAAAGGGCTTCTAGAATCTTCACCAAGACGCACACCTGTGTTACTATAATCTAAAGGCATTGCCGTATGAGCTGCACTAAGTTCTAATGTCATTGTCGCACTTTCTGTTAGAACAGACGTTCGGGTTTATTATGCTCTCATCAAATGAACAGTTTGATTTTCGTTCAAGACCAATCTTTCGAATTTTTAACGAACGGGAATTTAGGTAATGGGTCCTCTGGCATTTTTTTTATTAACAGAACGCGTCGTGAAAACGAAAGCCCACTGAATTTTTCATGTTTGACGGCCAGCCACCTGAGTAATTAACACGTGTCTGAAAAACATGTCTTGTTTTCGGATGACCAAAACGCGTGTAAGCTAAAATTCAACCGACAAGCTACTGTTTGATCAGCGAACGTTCAGGATAAAGTCTGAAAGTTTCATTGTCGAACCGCCCCCGTTCGCGATTCTCGTCTCTATGGCCCCGTTAGTAGGAAGAAGGGGCGGACGTTTTATATCCCCAACTCCACCTTTTAAGATAAGTGTGCAGAGATACAGGCACTGTTAACTTTCCAATCTATATTAATCTGTGATAAGATTATAATAATTACACCCGTGTCCCTATACCGAAAAACTGTCGGTTTTAATTTCTGCCCGAATGAGAAAATACGCGATACCGAGAGTTTGCTCCCGAAGTAAAGGAATGAGATTAGAACGCCAATGAAAGTTAATATTTTTCCTGTGACTGTAGATTTTGTAGAAATTAAGAACAAATTACGATTAAAGTTTAGTAGTCAGATTGACATTTGATTAACCATGTTTTGAGTTTATTCGCTACATGGAATGAATTTCTGGTAGGGATAGAAAGTTGTCGGTTGGTTTGAATTTTATACACGCCTCTTTCAGAACCGCGTAGATATTTGAATTCAAGGTTTCAGGAATTGACAACCATGAAAATACTTATCTGTTTGGAAAACTATTAGCTGAAAGAATGTACCTAGCTAGAGTCTACACCTATATCATACATCCAATCCAAGTTTCTAACTGCTATATACCTCCACATTCAAACATATTAAGTATATAATTTCACTTATATAGGTGTAAGTACCTACTTATGATAACCAATTACATAAATTGCTACCAATAGACAACCATACGGTAAAATGATCTGCCACAAGCCCATTGTTGTATAATTAATTTGAAATTCTAAACTGACGCAGTTGTATTTTAACCATATAAGCGACCACCTAAGTATACAACCAGTGGCGGATTTAAATTTTTTGCGCCCCTAGGCACACCGAAAGATATGCGCCCCAAAATAATCTTTAAATTGCAATAAATTTTGAGATGGTAATAAAAATCAAATTATAACTTGAAATTTTTAAAACTAATATTAAAAGAAATACAGTATACGTAAGATTAAGTTTTCACACACGTCAAAACTTGCATTGTCGATTATCGTTCTTACAGTTTGTTTAATCTATATCTACCAATCCAATTTATTTCATAATTTTCATTAAAGATTTTTTCCATTTGTATAGGGGACTTATTTTAAAACTTAAAATGTTACCTAAAATAAATATAGTGCAAAAAAATGCCGCCCTGTAAAGCTGCCGCCCCTAGACACGTGCCTAGTGTGCCTGTATGTAAATCCGCCACTGTATACAACGAAACAAAACGCAAATATGAAAATAAAGAATTTATTGTAAAAATCATTATTTATTAGGTATACTACCATATTTTTTAGTTAATTGTTAAACTGCACTAAGTATACCTAATACTTAAGTATATAGGTACTAAAAATTTCTGCTTCGAGAAAAAAATTTTTGGGTTAATTTCGGTCTTATACCACATTGTTTAAATACTTATTTAAATAATGGTTATATCTATATACCTACTCGGCGTTAATACCTATATATAAACTGACATATTGCTGTAAAGTGTAAAGTAGATACAATGAGGATAGGTAGGTACTAGGTATCACCATTGAATAAAAACACTATTTTTATTCAATGGTATCACAGATTTAAAAGTATAGGTATTTAAATCTGTGGTACTATGTTGTGACTTCCTATAACTACCTATTTAGTCTCTATCTACAATTAAAAGTGACGTAGTGATTTCTTTTAACAGAAGAAAAGTTTAAATTTGACCGTTCGACGTATGTTAGTATACCTAGATTATTTCATGATTAGCAACACTGCAGAGTCACGGCCTTCTAAGTTTTATGATAGGTAGATAACTGATGCGATATTCAATTTTTCATACTGAGCGCATATCTACCTATACCTACTTTTTGAAAAAAATGACGAATTGCGGCTAAACGACTCATTTTAGATATGTTGTGAATAGGATAGTCACACTAAATTTGACCAAGGAATTGAAATATGCAATAATATACCTACAGGATCCTATTTAAAAAATGCATATAACTTTGATGTAAATCGCCCTGTACCTCTATACCTATTGCAATTATGGTATACCATAATTGCAATTTCTTTGAAAATATTTTTAGGTTGTTTGGTTCAAATGAAGGTGTACCAGCCAATAAAGAAAGTTTCTATAATTCGAATTAGCAGCATCGTCGTTGAAGTATTAAACATCACATTTCGTCATTTACCTATGACTTTTTCAAATGTGTTGGCATATACTTACAGAGGGTGAGTTTTTTTCCAATGTTTAGTATGGGGATCTCGTAAACCGTAAGATATACAAAGTCGCTTAAATGGGCAAACAATTGCAAAATTTTATGTATACTGATTAGGTATCTAAGTTTCCCTTTCAGAGTTTCTTGTAGCTCTACAAACAACGAAGTTATATGGTAAAAAAACCGAAAAATGTCATTTTCAAAAATTAGCTGATGGCGTTTATTTATTTTCAAAGTTATCAAAAATAGTATATTAAGATACAAGTGTAGGTATAATCAAGTTTTTAAAGCACGCGCAACGAGTTTAAGGGCACGACGCAAAGCGGAGTGCCTTTAACGTTGCAAGTGCTTTAAAGACCAATTATACACGTGTATCTTATAGTATTTTTTATTATACCTGCAGTATAATTTAAAAATAGGAAATACAATGAAGTCATATTGACGTTATACTCGAATACATGTCTAATTAAGTGGGCTGGGTGTTCGTAATTTCACGATTGCCATGGAAATGTCACTTGACGTTTGCTTATAAAAATCATCGTCTTTGTGAATTAAACGATTTCCGTTGAAAAAGATAATACACCGTCCATTAAATCGATTGTTGTAAAATCTAAACAAACGTTGGTAGGTAAAATCCAACTCCAGTAAAGCCTATTATAAAGAATATGAAAAGTTGTTTCCATGGATGAATAGGAAGTTACTTACGAATACAGTCTTAAATGCATCCATAATGCTGGCATATATGAAGGAAATGTCAAAGGTATTTAAATCTTCTATATTTTGGTGCATTCATTCAAAACTTTAAAGCAATGCTGCGATTAAAAAGTGGAACAGATTTGGAAGCATACCCTAAATTACGCGCGTTTGTGAAAGCTTCAACCAAAGGATAGGTACAAAAGCCAAAGAAATGTTCTGCATTTACAGAAAGCGACCTAAGAGGATTTTTTATTTCATCCAGATGACAGTTTCAAAAGTCATACTTGAAGTACCGTTACTTAGCAACTTTAAAGCACGTGTGTTTTAAAGGCCCTTTTTCGCACGCATTTGAGTGTTTAAAACGGAGATTGTGATTCAGGTATAATAAAAATAGTTTTAACAACCCCTTAGTAATTCTCTCTCTCTCTCTCTTTTTCAAATGGTGCTAAAATAAAATTTTTATCACTTGTGAGTTTCAAGTCACATCACCTAACACATCTTTCAAATTCAAAACAAAAAAAAAGGTAAGTTGCTAGCTCTGAATCGCCAAACGCAACTAGAAGTGAGTGCGCTTATTTTTTATTATTTTGGAGAGAGATGGGGAGATTTTGGGGGAAGTGTGACAAAATCTCTTTTCGGACTAAACGGTTGAACCGATTTACTTGAACCAAATTTTCTACACATATTCTTATAGAATCGCGCATGCGTATGTGGGGTTGGTGTTAGGTACCTGTGCTAGCCACAGCAAATTTTTTGAAATAATTGTTTGATATTATTTATTCCAGTCTGAATTGAATACGTATTCATAGCTAACAAAAGAGGAAAGCGTCCGTCGGGTCAGCTAGTTATTAATGAATTTTAAAATAATAGCGTTTATTCTCAAATTAGATAACCCGGAAACGATTGAATTTAGGTACATTATGCTTATTGCAAATTTTGCTTAAAATTGAGAGAAGAATTGAAATATTGAATAATATACAGGGTGTTCCATTTAAAAACACAATTTTTCTGTGCCGCGCCCGTATGAGTACCTAACCCTGTATAACTAAAATTATTACTGCCTAGTCGACATTGAAGAACCGCAAATACCTACTATATGTATAAAACATATTTCGATATTTTGTATATTTTCGCCGATAATCGGCCGTATCCAGACTTATCAGCGACCCTGTATGTCAACACATTTGAAAAAGTCATAAATGACGAAACGTCATCTTTAACACTTGAACGACGATGCTGCTGCATTCGATTTGAAATCCTTTTTGACTGTACATCTTCATTTGGACCAAATACTTCTTCCAGCCGTCTCCAACTACAGTACATAACATTTTTAGGTTGTAGCCTTAAGAGTTCTTCAACATCCCTCCTCAAGGCGATGACCTTGATCTAGAATCCAAGACCATAACCTTGATCCAGGATTCAAGACCATGACATTGGACCAAATTTGAAGGTCACGGCCCGAGGAAATCTCGAAGCAATGACCTTGAAAAATTCCAGAATCGCGACCTTGAGAAATTCCGAGGCAATGAGCTAGGAAAATCTCAGCGCCAGGACCTGGGGACATTCCGAGGTAATGACCTTGGGTAATCCGAGGATCACAAGCTTGTGGAAATCTCAAGATCATGTCCTTGTTAAGCAAGCAGGAAAATCTCGAAGGTATTGACCTTGTGACAATCTGGGAAATTCCAAGGCCATGACGTGCCGTAACGGAAGGGAGTGTCCCAAGGTCAACTTGCATGGAAAAGTGTACATTGCTGCTTTGTCTTATGGTTCGCCGTTATCATTTGCAAGGGGTGTAATGTAAAACGCAGGTTCTGTAATGTAAAATTATTCAAGATTGCTGATTTTTGTTTGGAAGGCCCGTGGAATTTTTGTTGGAAAAAGTTACTATAGGGTCCTCGGGGGAGGTACTACAGGTTAAAATCGGAAAACAGATCCCTGGTAACCTCTGCGTGGTAGCTCTGGTAGATACAGTGTTGCAGGAGGCATTCGATTCAAGCGCAGTGAGACTCAATTCCACAAAAATTGATATTAACAATAACATCCACATTTTTAGGCCCATGTGGGTTCGGTGGCGCAAGAATTGTATTTGTCGAAAATGGTAGTGGCTTTTGTAGTATACATGCGATATTTTATTGTAGTGATGTGGGTTCTCTATGTATCTACCCTTTGGCGACACTTGGAGACTTCCATCCTCCATGCTTCTTTAATTGAACTTGGTGCAACGGTTTCCTATATGTACAGGAGAAGGAAGTAAAAAAGCCGACTGTGTTTCATCGAAAAACGCTTGCGGTTGTTTTGATACCTAAGAAAATTAACTGCACATAAACTCTAGACTGATTAGAAATAAATTAGTATTTATCGAATACTTTTACTCATTTGGGGTCTAAGGTTTTCAGTCTTCAATTTGATAGAAATGGCGGTTTACCGCCTAAAATTCCATACCAAATCCACTCCATTTCATACCGAAATTAAAAAGGCATCCATCAGCGACAATGGTTGAATGCCATCCTCCTATGCCTTTTTACATTTGAATATCAACTCCACTGTAAGCCAAAAACCAACAAACGTAGCAGAAGTTCTTCGTAGACAATAGCCAGATGTAACTGTTTGAATGGGCGTGTTGCTTGTAAAGCGAAGCTTCCATGTTTTTTTTGTAGACTGTATGTGGAACTGCTAAGCTTTTATACAAGAGGGATGGTGAAAGAATATCGACAATAATGATTAACGTGTTTATTGATTAAAAATACAAATAAAGTAAATTGCTCACATGTACTATACCTAAAATAGGAACAATTACGAAAGGAGTATGAGACTTACTTGTTGTTGTTTCGAAGTAGGTCTCCTTAGAAAAAGCGCAATATACAAACGAAGATTGTTGGTTGATTTAAACGATGAAGGCCATGCTTTGTTGCGACAAGAACGACAAAGTTTTGCGTTACAGACGCCCATAACGACGAAAGCTTTCACGGCGATGTACAAATTAAATTCGGCGAAATGACCTACTGCTTTTTAACAGTTACGTTCACTGTTGACGGTTGTATGACCTATGACGGCATCTTGTATTCGAATTGAATGTTGTTCGACGAGTGCGCATGTTAAATACGAATACTCATGCGCTGCACATAACAAGTGCGGGAATATTTACAGGGACAGGCGAAATAGTTATATACAGAGGGTGCTAAGACTAATTTATTTGAAGAAATTCATTCTTTGCAAATGTGATGATCCCAATTGGTCGAACACTCTCCATTTTTATAAAAGAAAAAGAATCTTCCGTGGTCAACATTAGCAGGACTACTTTATATAACCCGGTCGCATATTGCAATCTGCAGTCACCATAAATAAAGTCTATTTTTTTTGTCTTGGTATCATGTAGGCATAGAACAAAAAGGGCAACGTATAATTGCGGCCGCATTCATTTCGAAGCATTTTAACCACACGCTAGTTTTGTGAATTATAAGTCACCTGCAAATGGTTATGTATTCAATTCAATTAATCAATTGTAAATGAAAAGAAACTACCTTACAATACGGCCCAATTAGAACTTATTTAACAATAATTTTACACAATTTTATTAACTTTACTCAGCCATCCAGTTTCCAAGACTGACACATATATTCAGTGGTATCTTTACGCACGAGCACGATGGGCTTGTGCCCAGGGTCCCCGCGGGTTAAGGGGCCCCCGAGACGACACGAGTCTTAGATATATACTTAATTACAAATTGCAAATGTAACTAAAAGAAATTAGTAATAGTAGGTTTTCTTTGTCCATATTTGTAAATTCAAACTGTAGTTAACTTCCTTTAAAAACAACAAACAAGTTCCTACCTCTTTCAAGGTACACCGTACAGCCCCGTAAACGACCTGCAATTTCGGAAAAATTGCATATAGACCGAGAGATAACGATAGATTTTTGCGATGATTAGTAAACGTCTGTCACCACAATTTTCTCTTTACATGGGTTAGAACCGAGGTTAGAACTAACGTATATATCATACGTCTGTTGAGCGGTTAGTTCTTTTAGCATTGGAAATGCTTATGTTTTGTTTACGTTTGCGACACGAGCGAACTTGCAAGCGAGTGGAGCAGGTGATCCCGAGTGAATAAGGGTTATTTGTATTTTACATATGGCATACGGTTATCATTTCCAATATTTCCAATGGTTACATGGATTGCGAAATCTGTGAATTTTTTTATTTAATTTTTTTAATTTTGACCGCACAGCAAACTAAAGTTCACAGAATTGAAAGCGATCCATCTCCTATGTGGTGATGTCGTAATGAAACTACAAAACTCCTATAATCTTCACCACAAAATTTTTCTTTAAAATTTGTAAACAGCTGACAGGTATAAATATACGTTTCGGCAATGAGAATTATGCCAGTCAATTAATAAAAACGTCTAATGCTTATTATTACATTACAAACTGCCAGCTTGTAACGCTAAGTTTGAGTGGCGCTGATTTACAAACCCCACGTTAAATAAAGGGGATGCCTCAGCTAGCGGCTCAATTAAATTAAACCACACGAAACTATAATACTCAGGGTAGGGCGTTGGACTAACGATTTGACTTACCCCCTCAAACAATAAATGGGCGCCACCTTGTTCACTACTAGAGAAGGTCTTCGGTTCAACCTGAACAAGGAAGGTTGATACCACGGCAGGGCAATAAATACCCTGTAGGAACGAGCAATAATCCAAAACACTGGAGGTAACTTCAACGGTGATAGTATAATTTGTAACCAACAGTATTGCAATTACACATGCAAATAATCACAGAATCAATTTAAGGTACCCCAACACACAGTATAACAAGTAACAACAAATATGTATAAAATCAACTACTAAAGTAGATATATATATATAACAACTAATGACTAACCCACAGGTAATATCACATGCAAAAATTAGTGAGCGGCAACCGACGCGAAGCCCGTGGGTTAATTGCCCCACCCTTCCCAAATAGTAGTCTATCCGCAAACAAAATGGTCTTCCCACCCTTGCTTTTCCCTTTTTATAGTGAGGTCGGCAGTGGCCAAGCAGCCTGGATTAAACGGTGTTGCATAAATGGATAGTTCTAGGCATTAATTATAAGCTAAACACTTTAATGACGTGGTACGGGGTTGCTTAGTTAACAAGGCGGTATGAGTACTCATGCGCTTACAAATTCAACGGGATCCACAGCAGTATGACCCGTAAATGTACCAATTATTCCTATCCCCTTACTTTGTACCTCCGATCGGTAAAGTGCCCCAGATGCGAGCGTAACCCTTCGCTTAAGATTAACATAGGAGTGCCTATGCAATGGCAAATAGTACTAATATCGAAAGGCTAAGTTTATTTCACCGTTCTCCGGAAACGTGGCGGCTACGTGGTGTTCCTGCTCCCCTTAAGATTCTTCGTGTCGGTTGTCCACCCCCGTGGTTACAAATCTCAGGATATCCGGGAGCCCTCAGCTCGGGTAATAACCGCTACAATCGGCCTCTAGGTGGACAATCGGATGACAATAAGGTCCAGCAGTGGGAAACCAACCATGCGTGACCACAAGTTTGACATGAGATAATTACGTGCGATACAAAAAAAACAGGAAAAGTAAAACCCTAAAACAATGTCGGAATTAATACTGGTTTTTGGCCAAGATTTAAGCATACCTCTTAATTAAAAAGAGGGCTTTTTAAAACTCGTTAATTAACGAGATGCCTCGAGGTTATCGGCAATCAAAGCTCTGGCTTAGGTGATGCGAAGAACAGGTGCGTTATCTAAAAGAACAGCGTGGCTGTGACAATAGAAATGATACGCAGATGTTACTTACGTCAAGCAAATGTATTCAGATCCCGTAACGGTAAATGGATAAAATGGTCTAACAAACCAATCTCCAAAACATCGATTATTCATGGACTCGAAAATCCGCAATTCGGCGATATGTAACTATATTATGCCCATGAAAATTTTCCAAGACGCCATCACACCTGTTCGTTTTTAAAGCAAGCACCAATGAATGAAATATTCACCGCTTAATACGTGTCGGTGGAGTAACGCACATGCGCAAAAACATAGAAAATATTCCCAATTTGCAATATGCCAGTGGCGTAACCTAATATCGGCCTGTAAGAATCCGTAGCATAGAGAAAATGAACGGTGAGAAGAATTAAAACCGTTACAAGCTGTTTACAAATAAAAAAATTTTGTTTGTGGTGATAGGAGTTTTGTAGTTTTTTCAAACTAAAGGTTATTAATAAACATCTGCCATCAATTCTAAAATAATGGAGAGAAAAAATAATAGGGCGCTAGCACATTGACAGAGGTTTTTCGTTGTCTATTCGCTTGATAGCATATATTACGTAATTTTAAAAAATTGAAAAAAAAATTTTTATTGACAAAGAAAAGTATTAATTAATTGTATTAATGTTTTTGTTGTGTTGTCAAAATTTGAAAAATTACTTAAAAATAGAACTGACGCTTGACCACCCAACAGACGTATGATATTCGTTTATACGCTAGCTCTTGTTCTAATAGACCTAGATCGGGCGCAAGTGTGCATTAATATAAAAATATAAGCGGATTATAGAAAGAGCGACAGGAACGTTGTATAAGTTTTTTGTCGATATCCATATTTATTGATTTTAATGAGATCGTTTTTCTGAATTCCGTATCTTCCAAACAAAGTTGCCCCATATGCATTTTTGTGCCCAGGGCCCCCAATTGGTTAAAGACGACTCTGCATATATTATCATACACCCTGAAACGGCTTAGTCGTAAATATATTTTGACAGTTTTTTAATTATTCAATTTCTAGAAGCCTTGTAACGGAAGTTATAATGAAATCACACAATCTATTACAGTTATTCCAAAAAGACAAAAACTTAATCCCTAACTCAAATCAACCCCCCCCCCCCCCCCCAACCTCCTGTAGTTCCCTTTCCAACGCGTTGCGTCTTTTAACTTAATACGATCTTACGATAAGCATAACGTTAACGTCTTTTATATGTACAAATTTCTTTTAATTATAATGCAGAGAGTAAAAAATGATTAATTTAAAATTGAATACCCATTAAATGCCATTACAGCTAGTCTACGAGAGCCTTCTTGTTTTCAAGCAAAGTTAAAAGGTAAGGATGAAGCGGGACGCATACTACATATTAATATTGATTTTATAAATAGTTCGAATTCGAATCTTAGGTACATAAGAATTTTCATTCGCTAAAGTTTGGAATTACTTATTGTTTATTCATTAAGCTGGCTTGCGTCAGTACCTATGCAAGTCCAGTTTCGATGACACGAAACTATAAAAGACCCATACGTACAGACTACAGAAACGTGGCAAAATAGCTCCTTATTTGAGTTGTTGCGGAACAAATTATATTTTTATGAATCAAAAGCAAAAAGAGGTCGTTTTTGTCGATAATATTTCGTAACTTACAAAGCTATACAAGGAAATAAAAATGCTTGTGTGGCTGTATAGGGAAATGCTATCGGATAGTTTGATTTTAAAGGACTCGCTTAGGTTAGTACTTATACTTCCGTTACAAATGACAATATTAGCCAGCTCCGCTCTAAAAGAAATTGCATTTTAACACTCCCCTTAGTGATTACGTAGCAATAATTAGATTGGCGTAATTACTAAAATGCATCCGAGTAAAGGAGTGGAGAAGGAATAGGAAAATCATTTACCTTAGTCGCGTATAATTGAAGGAAATTGCTTGCGAAAACTCGGGAGTATTCAAATAAGCAAAAAAAAAGAACTGAGGGTGAGAATGATTTTCATTCGTGTTGGGAAACTCAAATGAATCCCTTTTAAGACTTAGATTTCGAATACAGAGACTTTTATCTCCGAACGAACGCCGTTTGATTTCTTTTTAATGGCGCTTTGTAATTTTTCAGCTTCTTGAAGAGGCTTTGACTGAGAGAGCAGCTTTGCTATCTTTTGATGTCTCGAAAGCTCTAATTAAACACGATTTAAAGTATAATTTCTTTGTTCCACTTTGTTCGCTAATGCTCGCTTTCGGATTAATGATATTTGACACCTCGGGATTTCCTTTAATCGTTTGCTTCAGCGGAATTAGTTTTTCATTTACCGAAGTTCTACGTTCGTTATCGAGTTTTTTTTCGTTCTGTATTTATATGGAAATATCCTAAAACGTAATGGTTAAAATTTCATTTCTCGTTTAAAAAATTTATAAAAGCGGAAAATAATTCCTGTCATCGTATTTTGAAGACATTATGCAAGAATAATACCATTACATGTGACAGTTATGACGTTTGTGGAAGAAAAATGTATGACAGCGCATTGTGCGGTGACGGTTTGGCGCTATTTTGGTAGAGCAAAGACAATAATAGGGATTAAAGATATAGCAATTAAATGTCAGAGGAAGATAGACAAAGAAACTTGTGCAGTTTCCCACAGGATTAGAATGGTGATTCACGACGTCGCCGTTTTCATCGTGCTGAATTACACAACGGTATTATAAAATTCATGCTTTGTTATTGCTTTACTTTCTGTAATTGACTCTTTATTACGCGAATATAGAGAGTCGGTGATAGGATTTCTAGCAGTGGCAATTATAACTCATATTTTATTAACACGGTACAGGTATTGTAAAGATAGACTCAGAGACGGGATGGAAACTTAAACTCAATTTCTTTTCCTTTAGTTGTTGTGCAGTCCACAATCTTCTTTGCCGCTTGGCAACCGTTAACATTTGACGCATTAATTTCTTTGTCGCATTCAGACACCAACTGCTCCAACTTCTGGACCTGCTCAGGCGTATACTTTTTCTCTCGTTTTGCCGATGCTAAGAAACCATTCACGTTCAGTTTTCCATTTTTCATCATATTTCCTTGGGTCAAGAGACATTCGACTAAACATAATCCATTATCAGTAGATGGCAGTCCGTGATCCAATACGATCTTTAAATCTTCTTCCGATGCACCAACTTTGGTTTTACAGTTGTTAACAATTACCATCTTTGCATCTTTTATTGGGTCAAAGCTAGCGGCCATTGCAGCTAACATCATCACACCTGAAACAGAAACTGAGATTAGTTTAGCGCACATGTCTCCAGACCACCTCCTTTACGAAGTAGAATTTGTTCTGGTGCATATAAAATATATCACGACATCAGTTCCCCTCTTAGTAATAGTATAGCGAAATTTCTAGAAGGTTATCAAAGCGACATAAAGGCGATAATGAATTAGTCACGTGCGATGTGACTCATTCTTTTCGTAAAATATGATATGTTGACCTTCGAGATTTATCTAGAAGCTTTTTGTTTGCTATATAACTTGTGTTTAGTCTGAGTCTTAATATCGATGCAAATCAGTGATAACTAATGAAATTGGTGCTCATATTATAAATGTGTTATAAACGTGATTGTGATAAATCCTTAACGAATTGTTATAAATCAATGTATTTAAAGGGCGTTTTAATTTATGTAGTTCAACGTTAATAGTATTATTTGCTGTGAATATTAATAATTAATTTTAAATAAATAAACATTTAAATAAATCACGTATTAAATTTAGTTACTTTACAGTATTTTGTTCCAACATTGTATCGTTTTTTCCTTGCTGCCAGATAGACAAATAGAAGATAGAAAAATGTTTTCAAATAAATTAAACAAATATAGTAAACGAGCTCCTGGGTATGGCTATAGCATGTGCAAAACCAAATTTTAAACCTGATGTTTGTTTTGCTTTTATTTAAAGTGTAGGTATATGTATGAAATTTTTTTCAATTGCTTCCATAAATAAGAAAGTTGGCACTGCACATCCTACACAAAACCAAATTTGAAAAATGGCGCTACATTTGCTTTTATTCCAAGTGGCTATGTATCAAATTTCATTTGAATCCCTCCATTAATAAGAAAGTTGGCATTGGGCATGTGCAAAATGAAATTTTGCAATTCGGTCTGTAAACGGTCGAGATGCGCAAAGGGCACTGTGAATGCCGATCGATTAGGCTCAACTTTTGGAATTGTGTTTTATATGGCTAAAGCTATGCGCATATTGAATTTCATGCAATTCGGTTCATAACTAACGGAGATGTCAAAAGGGCCTACTTTATTTTTTGGTCTATATTGCCAATTCACGAACTCCGATGTACAAATTTGATAATTCGTTTATGAGTTATCGTGCTAACGGACGGACGGATAGACGGACGGACGGGCGGACAGACACCGCAAAATTATAAATTCGCTAGGAGCTCGTTAATAAACCGATGTTGAGGTGGTACAATTCCAAAAGTCGCAAAATTTACGTTACTTATTAATTTTGTTAGCCACTATAACAGAGAGAAAGACAGAACGAATTGCTTTGGGTAGGTTTTAAGATTGTAATCTTAAACGTAGTGTAGTAGGTATAGCAACTATGGTATTAGAATCAACAACATTAGGTACGAAAAATGAAGCAGCATACTATAAATAGTATGACGGATGTTACCATTAACAAAAGCTGTAATTAATTCGCCGTTTGTAACAGTTTCCGTCAAGATATTTCAATTATCTTTGTTGCGCCCGAAAGCTTTGTCATTGAGAAGGCGAGGACAAATTACTATTTTAGAATTTCAGCTTCGTTAAGTCTTGTTAGCCGGTTTTAGTTTCCTATGGTAATTTAAAGCGAGTATTAAATCTGCACGGCTATGCAGGTTAACGCCGGTATCAGTTTAATCAGAGATCTTTTGCCGAACTGAAAAATTCAAGGGGCAATTGGCTTAAATAGAAGTATGAATTGAGAAATTTCATCTGGCACATTTAAGGGAATATAATTAATAGTGTCAATTCAATGAGTTGCAGTAAACAGCATCCGAATAAGTCGTGAGTGGTATTTACAAAAAGCGCTCTTAATTAATGTAAACTTCAAGACAAATTGAATTACCATGTATATAAAAATTTGCAATACCAAACGTTACAGTCAATAGGTCTATACTTTCATTTGTAATTTAAATTTAAACGAAGTATAGCCATCGAAATATAGGAATAATCTGCGTATGACAATAGGTGCGTTCACCAGACAAAGCCCTTCATGAGCGTTACCCAAAGGTGGGAATCCTTTAGCAAGAATTCTCGTGCGAGTTACTGTCAGATATCACTTTCGAGGTGTAAATACCACCGTACGTCCGACTTGGGTAACCTCGACAGTGCTATCAACTCGCGCGAGACACCTTGCTACAGTTTTCCCGCCTTTACGTAGCGCCCATGAAGCGCTTCTTCTGGTGAACGTAAGCAATGCTAAGCGCGGATACTGCAGGTGAACGAGAGGGAAAACTCAGAGTGAAGCTCTCTCTATCGCGCTTGTGTTGGTCAACAATGTCGATTGTATACGAGCAACAGAAGCGCGATAGAGAGAGCTTGTCTCTTAGTTTTCCCTCTACTCTCACCTGCAGAATCTGCACTTTGGATTGACACGTGCAGTCCAGTCGATGAGTTTAGCGCGGTTTCGCGGGAAACAAGAACGTGCGTGCGGTCAGATTCAAAAGAGAGACGTGTGAGGTATGCAAGACAAGCTTGACGCACATTGGCATGCGCGTTTATATTAAATAATATTTAGTAGGAAATGTGATAAATATCGTACACACACGTCAACAATAGATCAAGGTGTAGACGCAAAATTTCAACACCCATCGGCAGATTAAAAGATTAAAAAAATTTTACCCCCGCACGTTAGTAAGGAAGGTAAAAAATGAACCCCCAATTTGTTGACGGAAATACATGTTTTGAAGCACCTGGAATTCGAATCAAACAAAATCTCGATGATGACGGTCGGTCGGTCTGTCGGTTCGTCTGTACTCTCATTTCGGGCTAAACGGTTGAGTCCGTGAACTGATTGAAACCAAATTTGGTACACATATTCTTAGACATAAGAGGAAGAACTGAAAAACTGTTGGGCAGAATCGTGCTTGCACAAGTGTGTCAAACTCTGATTTGCGACTAAACGGATGAACCGATTGGAACCAAATTTGACACACAAAAAGTGAATAAAAACATAAACTAAAAATAAAATAAGGGTAGAAATTTTGTGAATCCTCGGGCACTGGTGAGTCTTATCAAAGAACAATACATATAAGCAATTGATATTCAATTGACTAAAACAGTAAATAAACAGACAATTCTGGACAAGGTTACACTTAACTAGATGCAAATTCTCGGCACAGCTGATTACTTATGCGCTATCACTTAATCTAATCTAAGTAAATTAACTAACTGAATTACCTCGCGTTAACATTAACGACAAAGGCAAAAGACAAAGTATTTTACAGTTGATTGCACATTAGCAACTTTTTTATTTCACGTTAATCAATTGCAGAGCAATTAGTCACGTAAATAGCAAAAATACGATAACGGCAACGAAAAACACACAACAAAGGCAATTACAAATGGCCTGAACTTGGGCAGCTCTGGTATTTCATGTATTGCATCGCAGAAGGACCGATCTCAAATACGAGTTTCAGCTAAGCAAAACATATCAATCATAGATTCATCGATAGGACTGTTTTAATGCTTGTTACACGAAAGATACATCCAAAAAACTACAATACCAATGTCAGACTAAAATCAAATTAATTCCAACTTACATACCCCATTAATAAATTGGTTTTAGATTGCGATATAAGTAAAAGATAGATATGTAATCAAACTAAAACAGATGGCAGAACCTAAAACGAAAAATGATTAGCTAAATAATAAATCCGATAAAAATAACTTTACCTCGGAAAGATACCAACATTAAAATTCACGTAAATACGTTTAGATATATAACTTCGGCAATCTTCAGAGGACGGCTTTTCCACTTGAGATTTCTACATCCTTCGCAAAGTAAGTACCTGTCATTTGAAGGACAAAGCAAAAATAATATTCCCCCAATGCCTATTTGTACCAACTTGCACTTTCTGTTAACACACTGAAGGCGCATTCAGTAAGACAGTCAACTACGGCTACATTCAACGCAAAAGAAATCCTAAATATTTAATACGAATTATCAGCAATTATTCGTTTACAGAGACGGTCGATGAAGAACCAGGATCCAACGAAATTTGAGTGTTTGTTTAGTAAAATTTTATTTAAAAACCTTCCAGAAGATTAACCGAACTTACTTTCACCCACTTTGAAACAATATTCAGTCCATATGAAAAAAAAATGCAGGAGAAATAAAAAAAAATATGTTAAAAAAGTCTCTGACAGTGGAGCAAGAATAACTCGAGTGTACATATTTAATGCTGAAACTGAAGGCCGAGCGACAGTTAGTAAAGATATAACCTTTCTTTTAAAAATAAAAAAAACCCTAAGGTTCTACAATGTTTCCTTGCCGAGATACTGGTCAATATATGAAAGGTGACCTTCAAATGAAATTAATAAATTATTAAATTCGGCCATGACCTTGAGTTTTCAATGCAAGCGGAGTAGGAATAACTCGATAGTACGAACCTAATGCTGTAATCTCGAAGGCTGTACGATGTTCCGTTGCCCAGATCTCGATCGTTTTATAAAACCAGACCTCTAAAGAAAATTCGTAAATTATCAACGGCCATTGTGTGTGACTTGACAGATTGGTAGCTGTTACAGGTTAGACTAAGCGATGCAGGAATAACACGATAGTATGAATAAAATGCCGAAAACCCGAAAGTTCTACAATATTCTGTTGACGCGATCTCTATCGACTTATAAAAAGCTTACGACCGGTAGGTAGTGAAACTATACGCTCATTTCTGGGGATCAAAAATGCACTAAAAACTCTCTGCCTAAATACATAGCGAGACACTACCGAATCGACTTTGGACAAGAAAATTCGACGGATCAACAGCCTATACCTAACATATCAAAAAACGCGATGTCAGCTATAGAGCTTTAGAACTATTTTTAGGACTACAGATTGGTCAGAACCTGGTCAACGATACTTCCGTGCTCACAACTCCAAAAATCGTCCTCAATTATTTAAACTGGAACGTTACGATTAGCATTTGCTAGCCTGATAGATTAAGATATCTGCAATGAACACATCCAGATTTCTGGTCATATAGTATGTATGTACAAGACGTGCCATTAAACTCGTTGCGAGTGCTTTAAAGACTTGATTATACACTTAATATACTATTTCAAACTCAAAAAAATGTCGATGGGTTGTGGTGTGTGTGGCATTGTCAATGAAAGTGTGTTCTGAAACCGGAGCAAACAAAGCACTTTTAAATGGGGAGGCTTTTAAGAAACAGAAAATATTAATTCTGAGCCATTAATTCCTACTCAAAGCGGGCCTTCGCGTGACTTATTCATTTATTTTCCACATAACATATATGTGCTATATCATTACAATAGTAAAAAAAAACCTCACCTATACCAATCAACACCTTTCTATCCATACCGACCGAAGCTGAGTAGTGAGTACTGTCGGAAATTCATCAGAACTTATTTTATATACAGTAATGTACCCGGATAAATGACCTTAGGCTTAGCCAATGGTTTGAAACTACTTCATTTCCTGTATATCTACCTAACTGATGATCATAATTTCAGATTATAAAACGTTCATTGTGTTTGTTGCCTATTAGGTATTGTATCCATCATCAGTTATTATTATGTGTATACAAAGTGGTCATATTGTTTTTTCTATCGTCCGTGACGATGATAGGCTGAATCTATTATTTCGGATCGAAATAATTGACTAGACTATTTACCTATACCTAAAATAATAAGTCCGCTAATCCGTATTAAAGTAAAGGGAGTTCCGTTCGCAATTTGTACTTGATAATCACGCTAAAAAGGTCCACAAGATCCGACCACGTTTTACATTAAACAAAATTTCTGATTTAAATTCCCTTTGACGTACATCCTAATCGCACACTTGGTTACTTTTTGTACCGAAAGACCTTTTTTATGCTTGAATTGTCCCCTATCCTCCTATTTGTTAATTCCGCTAGGGAGCACAAATTAACATATGCTTGAAGCAAACTGTAATTCTTAAAAGATAATTTTAACACCCTTTAATATTAAACACGAAAACCCCATGTATTCTTAATGCAGTTTTAAACTTTATTTCATCCGTTCCCTAATTTATGTATATCTTGTAGGAGAGAAAATGACGCTTAATTGGTACATGCACACGCTTTGACCAAAGAACAATGTTCAGTCGTTTCGAACAATATATGCTTTCAGCTTTTAATTAAGCTCCCAAAGAAAATAGAACATATTTAGCTTGATTCGTATATTTGAGCTTTGTCTCTTAGGTACGATGCTTGCGCTAGAGATTAAAATAAGGGCTTCTTTTTGAGATATACCATGTAATTATTGTAGATTAAAATATCACGTTAGATACAATTAGGCAAATATTAAAGTGCAACCCCTGAAAATAAACACTTAATCATATTACATTGCTAACATGCCATTAATTTCCTTAAAAGTATCATCATTTAAGAGTAAACTAAAAAAAATAATGCATCTACCTATCGAACGTGTAACTGATAGTTTGTGCGGTTGTGCGATAGAACGATAAGATCCTGGGAAGTACAAAATATGTAACGGGAGCCCGGTAGCGTATGTCATTTTTCCGATTTTTATTAGATTTTTATGGATACCTTGGTAGTGTGGTCTTCTATATATATTTTCACGTGTAGAAGGGGATAGTAGAATAATCCTACTGCAGAGGGCACTGCGTGTCGTACCAGGTGATTAAACAGCGGCCAGTCTGTCGCAACCCCAGCAATAAAGTTTTGGGGGGGTGTGGGGCGTTAGTGGTTTGACAAGATTTTACCATTGTTTATGTCTTCTTTCTCGATATGTGACAATTTTTAGCTTTAGCTCGAAGTATCAGGCGGGAGGGGCGAGCCCGAAACCGAAGGAGCCTTGGGTTTTCGCGCTGTTTAAGGTTTTTTTTGTTTTTCGAGGAATGGTCCACCAGGAATGATAAAGATCCTGGCACTGTAAGCCATTTAGTGGCGACGACTAAGTACTTGGGCGGTGCAGGATAGACGATTGATTTACATATTATACGATTTTCACGCCTCCATTCTAGGTTCTTCAGATCGCGCCACTTTACGGTAGTAAGTGCAATATTAGGCGGCTTTTTGTTAGAGTTTCAGAGGAGACCTCTTTCCACGACACAGTATGCCAATTTGCCTCCTTCAAATTACGTACGGTCGGAATCAAGTAATTGGAACACATGGGCGTAGACAGTAAGTTAAATCCATCCACTGTAAACACCTTTATATGTAATTAATATGTACGTTTCAAGTTCATTTGAATTACGCAATCCTTGGGATTTTGCTAGCTACGAGCCAGGATTTAACGCCCGCCATTTTTTGTCCCATTCTACGAAACCTAAATAGAGGGTGATCCAGTTTTCCAAGGTTGGACGACTCAAGGGCTAGTTTTAGACGAAGTACTAGATTTTCATTAAACGGCTAGAGAAAGGCTGAAATTGGTCGATGTATCTAATTTTCAATATGTCAATATTTTTGAATTTGTGTATTGATTTGCCATCAAAGTGATCGAAGGCGAAAGAGACCATTTTTTTTAAGTTCAGGTTGGAAAGAAATAAGTCCATTTTGGTCCATTCAAACGTGACCTGCTACGTATAGGTGACCTTGGAGAGTAGGTTAAGGTGTCATTTAATCTTCAAGGTCACACAGGTGATGGTCCCGTTTTGTTGTAGGTCATGGTGAAATTCTGAAATTCAAAAGGGCACTCGCTTCATGGAGGTGACCTTATGAAGTATGTCGCTGTGAAGTTAAACTGTTGTTCAGCGCTTGGAGGTGGCCTTGGAAAGTCGGTTAAGGTGAGACTCAAACGTCCGTTAAGTCTTTCACCTCTAAGCATCTCCCGCTCTCGAGTACCACGTGGTGACCTTGAGAAATGAGTCGACACCTTAGATTAGGAAAGAGTATGGACACCGCGGATGCCGTACAGCCGTGTATGAATCGTGTTACCTTTTTAAACAAGTCGGCCATTTTATATGTGGCACAAATGTCATTTAAGTAACATCGTTTTTCATGAGTTTTTGCGCTTAAATTAAGAGGAAATACACAAAAACCAACATACACCTTTTTCTTTGAATATTATTCTTTTAATATGTTAAACTTAATAGCTTAATGAACGACTATACATAATTTCGTACAACAGAACCAATCCCATGCATTCAAATTTTGATAACAAACGTCTTCAAGGACGGAATTATTCAATAAACTCCATAGGCGTAATCATTAGCACTCCGTGTTTTTCAAAGAAAAAAATGGTACGGAAACACCTTTTAAGTGCAAAATCAAACAGAAAGCAATGAAGATTCATATTTGATTACAATCTTTAGCTGGAGGGACAGTTAGTTTGAAAGGCATTCCTGAAAAAAGAAAAGGGGAAGTTTCGTTTATACCCGTGTCTGATTAATAAATAGCGCATCGCACGAATTTCATTCGTATGTTCAACGTGTTTTATTATTAGTAAAAAATAGTTTGTTTTTTAGGTACTTCTGCTACTATTGGCATTTACGGTTGGTACGCCACTGGCCAATTTCATTATGTGGCAGGTGGTAATACCAGCGCTTGCGAATTATCCGTCCATATTCTTTCCTTGTCTAAGGTCGAAACCTTGTTCCATTGGTCGTTGACACCTAAACCTCTCCCTCTCTTCCGCTAGAAAGTAGACCAAGGCCGTGTACGATCGTTCACCCCAGGAAATGGGTTTAATATTATGCACTTTAGACCTTGGAAAGTTATGTACCTACTTTGCACCTTGAATTTTACTCTTTTATAGCATAGATCTACTTTTATTGATGTATGTATGTATATATTTTGTATTTTATACCTTGTATTTTATTCTCAAGGTTGTAGGATCCTACCCTGTATATACCGCGAGTACTCTGTATATGCTTATTCAACAACCAGAAGCGGTTCAATCCTGCATTTTTCAAACGAGACTAAAAGGAGGGGAATTGTGTTAAGCGCATGGGAGACAAAAATGGCAAGAAAATTCCCGTTTTAGTTGAGGAAAAAGCGAATTATTATTTGCAAAAGGGACATCTTGTTTTTGTCCTTCGCGGAAGCAAGTTGAATCTTTGCTCAGTCTTAACTTTTGGTTTGTGTTAAATTTTTGTGTTTTGTCTACATGTATTTATCACATTTTTATATTGCTTTTGTTTTATAACCCCACATTTTATGTATTTTGCCAGTCTCACATTGAACTAACTGTTTATTTACACGAATGTATTTGTAACGGTAAAATTCCTTAATTGAGTCATAACGTACCTAAATGTGTGCTTTTCTTTTAATGAACTTATATTGTAACCGTGTGCAATTTCATGAAAATGCTCTTCGATTCTTTTGTTTGGAGTTTTTCACATTAATTTATTTTGTGTGTTCTCTTGTTCATATTTTATTATGCTTTTGCTATTCCATAATGTGCACCTCATGTTTGGGGTAATTTTTAATTTATCGATGTTGATTGCTTGGTCTTGTCCCACTCATAAATTTTGATGATTTTATTTTAATATGTGGAAATTACCAATTCGTTTGATGTATGTACTGACTTGTTGTTTGTTACTAAAATTTTTCTGATGAAGCAGTCACGGGGGTGGTAAAAACTGTAATCAAATTGAGTTACACCTAATTCCGTGATTGTCTTCGACATTCAACTGTAGACTTGAAATCCCGAAACCAGGGGCGGGTTACCTATCTTGCCGGAGCGGGATTACGCTAATCAAAGTTCTTCAGTTTAGAATCTATGTGTGATATATGAGTGGCGATTCAATAATTTTCACATATTTTTACCGATAGTTAAATTGGCCTACAAGGTCCATCTTGCTTTTAACAAAAGACTTAATTGCACCAGAGATGAGTCACATCCTGTATCCTTCACCCTTTCTCAGAATTTAGGTACCTGGTCTTACCTGGCCCATTGGCCCCAAAATTTGTTTTTAACGTTGAGTGTAACCAACATTGTGTATATGCATTTACTATCTTTGTTAACTACTGCTTAAGCTTTTACAAATATTTTGTTAATTACCTTTGGACTGTTTTAATCAAACTCTTTTTACCCTTGGCAGTTACTTTTGCAAGACGACACCCTTCTGGCTTTGCTTGCTTTGCTTACATTAACGTACATCAACTAAATTGCGGGTTTTCACAATCATAATAATTACGATAATTATTAAACAAACTTTTCACAATTTTGGTGTTTTATTTTACGTTCCTTCCCGAGCGTACTTCAGGTCATAGCGTTGTTTACAACTAACGTAAGGGGGCCCTGCCTTAGATGTTTGATCACGTGCCATTATTCAAATTTAAGCGGGATCTTGTTTAGTTTTGAAGTCATTCGGGTGGCCATTTTTAAACGTTGCCGGGTTGACTTTGTTTCCGTGTTCTTGTAGTGTGAAGTTAGCGTAGAACCTGGGGGTTAAGTACACTCCAAGGTTAACAAGGATCAAAGATCCCAACC